TTTTTGGTTCTGTTTATGTGGTGAACTACATTTATAGACTTGCGTATGTTGAACCAGCCTTGCATCCCCGGGATGAATCCTACTTGATCGTGATGAATAAGTTTTTTGATTTGCTGTTGCAATCGACTTGCCAATATTTTATTGAAGATTTTTGCATCTATGTTCATCATGGAGATTCTTAAAAATCCTCTGAGAGCTGAGGCCATGAAAAAGCATAAATAAACAAAACTCAGTAAGTGAGAAGCCTTTCTAGGAGTTAAGGGACCCAAAGCTGCTTTTAACGGTGGTAGAGCACAGGGAGGAGAAAAAAGCCTCCATTGTTGAGGGAAAGAAAACTATGATTTAGAATCTCTAGGGGATACTGGCCATAGAGTCTGTACCCAACCACCAGCCCTTTCCCTGGGGCCATCAATGCCCAGGTGGAATTCTGGGGTCAGGGCAAGAAGCTCTCCCGGCCTGGGTAGTCCAGCCCTTATGGCAGCAGCTCCCTAGACTGGCGTAAGAGCAGGAGTGCTCACACTGACCTTCGCTGAGATGCAGGGCTGTAGAGAGAAAACTTCTGAGGCTACTACATCTGGGCTGTGGCAGGAGTGCTGAGAAAAATTCCTGAGTTAGAGGCACGGAGGTTTCTGCTGAACCCTGAGGGCAGACAAAAATGAGAAAAATCCTTTAGGTAGTCTGAGATTCCTCTGTGTAGTGACAGCGACTGCTGGTGGCTGAGCAAGGAGCAGAGGAGGTGACAGCGATCTAACCTGAGGTGCAGGCATGCAGGACGCCCAGGACTGAAGTGGGACTGGAGAATGGAGAAAGGTCCTCCAGGCTCTTGAGGTCAGAGTACAAGAATAACGGGGGGTCAGGAGGACAGACAGAGACTCCTAAATACACACTTGAAGCGTAGGTTCTCTGGGCCTGCTGAAGTCTGAGGACACAGCAGGAAAGCTGAGATCACCTCCTGAGACACTCAGTTATTGAACCTTGCTGAAGGCTCTAATGCTTTATCTCTGAATGCATTTGGAGGCACCGATAATGTAAATCACACCGTAAGCGCAAGAAGTCCGGATTCAGCTCCTCAACAGGTTACACTGACTCAGCTGTATGCACTAGCAGCCTTAAAGCAGAGTTTTCTTTTGGGTGCAACTAAAATTTTCTTCAGTCTCCACTTCCACTCCCATGATTGCCCATTAATCCATCAGCCCATTAATCATTAACCTATAAATGGATTAGTCAATTCATGAGGGCAAAGCCTTTCTGATCCTGTCACTTCTTCAAGATTTCACCTTTCAGTATTGCCATGGACCAATTCTGAGGCAGGAACTGTAATCAGTATTGGTGATAATACAATTTGAAAACAAAATTGTCTCCCTCAGTGGAATTGATATCTAGGTTAATTGTATTTTGTGTGTTTTTAAATTCTCATTTACTTCTTTTTAAAATATACTTTGATAATTTTTAGGATTTTAAAATAAATTATTCATTGACATATTTTGTAACTGTGCTACATAGATTATATCTTTTTTTTTGAGACGGAGTTTCGCTCTTGTTACCCAGGCTGGAGTGCAATGGCACGATCGCGGCTCACTGCAATCTCCGCCTCCTGGGTTCAGGCAATTCTCCTGCCTCAGCCTCCTGAGCAGCTGGGATTACAGGCATGCACCACCGTGCCCAGCTAATTTTTTTGTAATTTTAGTAGAGACGGGGTTTCACCATGTTGACCAAGATGGTCTCGATCTGTTGACCTCGTGATCCACCCGCCTCGGCCTCCCAAAGTGCTGGGATTACAAGATTATATCTTTTGAAGGTAGAATGATATTAATCACTTGAGCAACTTCATATTCTCCCTATTTTTTCTGGATATTTATCCATGCATATTTGAATGTTCTTCCTGAAAAGTACCCAACATAACCACAAGATTCATGGCAGGAGAAAAAACGCGCACACACACACACACACACACACACACACGTGTACACGCACACACTCAATTTTATGAGTTTCTACACAAATGCTGGATTTGTCTTTCAGGATTTTCTTTCACATACAGTGCTCTGGCCTAGCCTGTCTTTTGGGAGTTGGCCTATCTCAATTCTCAAAATTGTAATGAATGAGTAAAGCAAAAAGGGAATTTAATGAACTTGTAGGTTACTGGAGCAATTTTGTTCCATATCATGCATAAATGTATGTGTCTGTTAAATATGCAAATAAAGAATCCTAAACATAGTAAGTTTTGAAAAGCAGAAAATCAACATAAAAATAAAATGAAATTTTACATACTGATAAATTCCGCTGTGAAATGCTGGTTTCTTTGTTATTGATAGTAAACTATTTTTACTCATGTAAATTGTATATTTATTACATTTTCAACTATTCTTTCTCAAACAAGTAGGAATTGAATAGAAAAAGACAAATAGAAGTGGGTTGTTATACTCTTGGAAATAACCTAAATATTCAAGAAAGCAAAGAAATTATTAATAAACGAATCTTTAGCTCACATATTTCCCCGTTTATCACTAGATTAACCTCTGCGTGTTGGTTCAAATGTCGGTTCAGTCCCCAAAGACTTGGCCATGTTGATTTGGTCCTGTCTCATGTGTGAGGCTCAGACATTAGGATGAGATTTTGCAGATGGTTCAAATGTCAGTTCAGCTCTCAAAGCCCATGGATACGACTTGAGTTTGTGTAAAGAATGTGTGATTTACACACTAGGCTGGGACTTTTATGACATTCTACACAGCAATGCTGAATTTGCCTTTTCAGTCTCCTGCCTGTAGGATTTCTTTCACTCACAGTGCTCAGGCCTATCTTGTCTTTTTTTCATTGTTCTTTTGCACAGATTCAAACTATATGTGAAAGTTTTAACTGTAAATATTGAGCCACTGTTTAACTGGTATCCACCTGTAGTGCAAATGAAACAGGAAAAGTTTCCTTGTTCCCCTCTCAGGGTATGTGATGGGCGGCGTGGCTCGCTTCTTAGGTGCCCTCAGGGAGCAGGCAGAGGGACAGGACGTGGAGAGTGTGGGCTCTGACCTGACTGCAGTGTCTAGGGCTGGCAGTTTACAGCTCCCGAGGCCAGGAGGCATGTGGTTCAGTGTGGCTCTCAGTTTTGCCATCTGCAGGAGGCTCTTGTTCACTGGCTCAGTGAGACCTGCTGCCTGATCACAAGGACAGAGGGCTTTCTGTATCCTGGGTCCTTGCCTTAGTGTACTGGAAAAATCAGATCACACATGGGCTTGGAGAATGTGTTCGAGGTTTTTTATGGAGGGTTGGTAGCTCTCAGTGAGGCGGACAGGAAGAAAGAAGGGAGATGGAGTTGGAAGGTAGTTTTCTCCTGGAATGGGCCTCTCAGCTGCTGGGTTCTCTGCTGGTGGGATGGCATCAGCCAAACTCAGCATCATTCAGCAGGTGGATGGCCTGCTGGTGTCAGCCGGTGCCTGTCGGTGTGCTCTCCCACCGCTGTGCCCCTCTCGACATCCAGCTGCTTGTGTTTCTGCCCACTAGGGTTGCACGGTTTTATGGGCACAGGATGGGGGCATGGAGGACCAAGGTGGTCCTGGGAAATAGAGCATTTGACCATGAGAACAGAAATGCCTGTCCTCACCTAGGTCAGTCGGCAAGCGTCCCTAGCTATGGACATGCCCTTCTCCACCCAGCACTTCCCTGCCCCTCCCATATGACACAGCTATGAGACAGGAAGAAACAAAATGAAAACAGGCCACGCCCCTGGGACTGGCTGCTCCAGCTTGTGAAGATGGACATCTCCACGACTCACGAGCTTCCGGTTACTTTTCAGGGTTCTCAGCGTTTTTCGTTGTTGTTCTTGTTTGTTTTCTTTGTAATTTATCCAAATTTTAGAATTGTAATCAGGAAGAGGGATGGATATTAGAAGCTTACATCATCATAGGCAGAATTGGTATTCCCATACCATACATTTTTTGAAAAGTATGCATTTCCTTTCTATAGTGAGTTATTAAAGGTATTATCACCTGCATGTTGAAAGGTGATATGTTTGTCGCAATCTTTAAGTTGTGTGTGATCAGTCAGTGAATGGTATAAGCTTCTGAACCTGTACTGGGTTCAGTACCAACTTGAACACACATGGCAGTTAATTGCCGCTGATTAGGTTGGTATGCCTTATGGCTGCCCAGTTGTTTGGCAGAAAGCAAGGTTGGGAAATCAGTTTTCATGTTTGCTATTTAAAACTACTCATATGTATTATTTTTGAATTTGAGCCACTGCTATCGGTTCTCAAAGTTGAAGAAACACATCTGCCTAAGGAAGCTGCTAGATTTCAACAATAAAAAAGGTTTCTGTTAAACAAAACGTTTAAAAGGTGAAATTATTATTATTATTTTTTTTGAGACGGAGTTTCGCTCTTGTTACCCGGGCTGGAGTGCAATGGCGCGATCTCAGCTCAGGGCAGCCTCCGCCTCCTGGGTTCAGGCAATCCTCCTGCCTCAGCCTCCTGAGTAGCTGGGATTACAGGCACACACACCACCATGCCCAGCTAATTTTTTGTAATTTTTAGTAGAGACGGGGTTTCACCATGTTGACCAGGATGGTCTCGATCTCTTAACCTCATGATCCACCCACCTCGGCCTCCCAAAGTGCTGGGATTACAGGCTTGAGCCACTGCGCCCGGCCCTAAAAGATGAAATTTTGTTGATGCTGCAGCTCTCTCTAACAGGTACTCTCATCCAACTCTTAAACTAGAAAATAATTTTACCCAAATTACATGCACTCTTATGCTTAGTAATTTATTGCTAAGGGAAGGCAAAAAGCATACAATTATCTATAAATTTTCTGATTTTTAGATGGTAACTGCCATAGCCACATACATATTAATGATTAGATTTCTTTAAAAAATTTTTCTCTTCTTGCTGATGGCAGTAGGTCTGGCATCCTGGACGCGGACCCTGCTGTTAAACATTGTGTGCCAGCAAAATATTTTAAAACACACAGCAGTAACGCTTAGTATTGATTGAATTATTCATGTTCATTCCCAGGATGAAGATGGGGAGAGAATCTGGCACCGATAAATACAGGATATGATTCTATTTTAGTAATCCCCTGAAGATCATCCTGCAGGTTTGCAGCACTTTTCTGGTTAGTTCTGTCTTTATTTATCTGTTATATCCCTTGTGCTGGGTAAATCGACATGTAATTGATTTTAGTTAATTGCTGTGTAACACCACACATTTACTTCTCTTCTTTTCTCATTCAGAGAAATTTTATCTTCATTTATTTTATACTTTATTGATACTGATGCTCTTAAATATATTACATATAATCACTTACAATTTTTAGAATCAAAATGGCACTTGCCGCTTTTGTTTACCAGAATGAGATGACAAAATGGAGGAATTATCTTTTTTTCTATGAAAGCAACACTATTTTCATAAAAAAGAATCTTTGAAAATAGAAATAGTTTAAACCTACAAATAAGCTTTAGCATAAACTGCAAAAGCGGAGAAATGAAATGAAGATGGAATTTATAGCTAAAAAGGAAGCACAATGTAAAGAACTAGAAAATTATCAGCTTAGACATGGAAAGGATCAAGTCATGTTTGGAAGAGAATACAAAAGGTGTGGCTAAGTAAAGTTTAACAAGGAGATGAGTGTGGATGGAAGGAAGCCAGTGGCTGTTCATCAAGACAAAAGGATGACCTCAAAGACATTTTTCAAATCACTGAGGCTGCCCCTTCCATCAGCCCAGAATGCCAAGGCCTTAAGGACAAAACAGCTTCAAAGAAGGGGACTAAGGCACACCTGGGACTTCAGGGATCACTTCTCAGGGCCACCTCAAGTCTCTGTGCCCCAAAGTCTGTTGCAGCACTTCTTTGACACGCCAGCTGTGGTTCAGGTCAGGCCAGGCATAGCTTGGGCGGCCCTTCCCAAGGGCACTACAAGTTGTAAACCTTGACAGCCTCCACGTGCTGATAACTTTGCATATTAGCAGAGTGCAAGAGCTGTGGAAGCATGACTACCTCCAGGTAGATTTCAAATGATGTCTCAGAGAGTCTTGGGACCCAGGCATAGAACCGTCACAGGAACACAGCTGCTGCAGAGAGTCCCCACTAGGGCAGTGCCTAGTGAAGCCACGAGGACAGCTTCACCCATAAGACCTCAGAACTCTATCATCACCAACATGGAACTCCAGCCCAGGAGACTGACAGGCACTAGACTTCAGCCCCTGAAAGGTCTGATGTGGACTTTGCCCCACAAAGCCATGAAGGTAGGATCCCCTGGAGCTCTGGAGATCCAGCCACCATGCCAGTGTGTGAAAGCAGGACATGGAATCAAACATTATTCTCAATAATTAAGATTTAATGTTGTTTGCCATGTTTGGCTTTGGATTCATTTGGGACCTGTTACCACTGTCCTCTTGCCCCTTTCTTCCTTTGGGAATAGGAATGTCTATTCTATGTCTGTTCCACCTTTGTATTCTGGAAGCACATAATTGTTTCATTTCAAATGCTCACAGCTAAAGGGGAATTTGCTTCAGGGTGAATCATGCCTTCATTCTCACCTGTAACTGGTGGAGATGATATTTAGGTGAAACTCTGGACTTTAGACCTTGGAGTTGATGCCGGAATGAATTAAGACTTTTGAGGCTTTTCGATGAAATGAATGTATTTTGCATATGAGGAGGGCATAAATTTGGGGGGCAGAATGTTGTGGCTTGAATGTGTTCCCTCTCAAATTAATATATCGAAGCCTAATCCAAATTGTGGTGGTATGGGGAGGTGGTGCCTTTGGGAAGTGATTCTTATGTCATGAGGCCTCCAGTCTCAGACATAAATTAGTGTCTTGCAAAAGGGATACAGAGAATAACTCAGGCCCTTATGGCCCTTCTGTTTTTTTTGTACTACATGAGAGTACGCCATTCTTCCTCTCCAAAGGATGCATAAGCAAGGCACCATCTTGGAAACAGAGAAACTAGGCCCTCGCCAGCCAGTGTTTTGATCTTAGGCTTCTCAGCCTTCAGAACCATGAGGGAATAGTTTTACTGTTTATAAATTACCCAGGGTGATATTTTGTTGTAGCAGTACAAAGAGACTAAGACGGCTCCTTTGCCCATTTTTAAATTCGTTTATGTGTATGTTTTGCTACTGAATTGTATGAGTTCTTTCTTAGTTCATTTTCTGTTACTATAGTAGAATATTACAAACTGAGTAATTTATAAGGAAATGTATTTCTCATATGTTCTGGAGGCTGAAAGTCCAAGAGCATGGTGCTGACATCTGGTGAAGACCTTCTTGCGATGTTACGTAGCCCATGGAGAAGGGGCAAGAGGGCACACGAGCACACAAGGCACAGAGGGAAAAGAGCTGACCTCCTCTCTTCTCTCAGGAATCCATTCCCGACATAACTCACCCACTCCTGAGACTATGGCAGGAATCCCTTAATGGAGGAGGAGACCTCATGGCCTGATCACTCCTAAAGGGCACACGAGCACACAAGGCACAGAGGGAAAAGAGCTGACCTCCTCTCTCCTCTCAGGAATCCATTCCTGACATAACTCACCCACTCCTGAGATTATGGCAGGAATCCCTTAATGGAGGAGGAGACCTCATGGCCTGATCACTCCTAAAGGGCACACGAGCACACAAGGCACAGAGGGAAAAGAGCTGACCTCCTCTCTCCTCTCAGGAATCCATTCCTGACATAACTCACCCACTCCTGAGATTATGGCAGGAATCCCTTAATGGAGGAGGAGACCTCATGGCCTGATCACTCTTAAAGGCCCTGCTCGTTAACACCACCATGACGGCAACCATGTTTCCAATGAGTAAATTTCAGGGGAACACTTTCAAACCATAGCAAGTTCCTTACATGTTTTGAATATTTTGTATATTAAATCGTTGTCAGATGTATAGTTTTCAAACATTTTCTCTTAATCTATAGGTTGTCTTTTTTCTTTTTCTTTTTTTTGTTTGTTTGCTTTGCAGAAGCTTTTTAGTTTAATGTAATCCCACTTACGTATTTTTGCTTTTGTTTTCTGTGCTTTTGTTGTCATATAAAAAATTGTTCCCAGGACCAAGGGCAAGAAAATATTTCCTATGTTTTCTCCTAGGAGTATAATTGTCTCAGGTCTTAAATTTGATTATTGAAGTTGTTTTCTGTATATGGTATAAGATAATGGTCCCACTTCATTGTTTTTCATGTGAGTATCCAGTTTTTCCAACACCATTTATTGTAGAGACTAATCACCCCAATATATATTCTTTGTGCCCTTCTCGAAAATCAGTGGACTTTTTGTGTATGAGTTTTTTTCTTGGCTCTTCATTCTGTTCCATTGCTCTATGTGACTGTTTTTAAGCCAGTACCATACTATTTTGAATACAATAGGTTTGTATTATAATTTGAAATCAGGAAGTTAATTCCTTTCTTTTTATTTCTTAAGATCGCTTTGTCTGTATGTGTCTTTTTTTTTGTCATTTCATGTGCATATAGAGCTTTTTTTCCTAATTTGGTAAAAGATGTCTTTGAAATTTTGATAGGGATTTTATTGAATGTATAATTCACTTTTGGTAGTATGGCCTTTTTCAATATTAATTCTTCCAGTTCATAAATATGAGGTATCATTCTCTTGATTTGTATCTTGGGGCCTTACAGGTTTTCTACAAATAAAATCATGTCATCTACAAAGAAAAAAAAGATAATTTTACTTTTTCCTTTCTATTTATTTCTCATGTCTAATTGCTCTGACTAGGAATTTCAGTACAATATTACACAGAAGTGGCAAGAGTAGGCAATTGTGTTGTATCCAATTATAAAGTTTTCAGTGTTTACACGTGGATTATGATGTTAGCTGTGAGCTTTTTGTGAATGCTCCTTATTGTATTGAGGTAAGTTCCTTTGATACCAATTTTGTTTAGAATTTTTATCATGAGCATATGTTGAACTTGTCATAGTGAAATGTTTTGTTTACATTTAAATAATGATAGAAAAATGTAATCCATTTATGTTTAAGGTAATTATTAATAGGTAAAGACTACTGCCATTTTGTTGTTTTGACTGTTTTGTAGTTTAATCGTTGTTTTATTATTTCTTTCTTGTCTTCTTTTTTAATATAATTGTTTTTGTAGTGGTGTACTTTAATTCCTTTATCTTTTTTGTATGTGGTACAGGCTTTGCCTTTGTATGTTGTAGTTACTATGAGGCTTACATAAAGTATCTCTTAGTTATGATATTCTATTTTAAGTTGATAACAATCTAACTTTTACTGCATACAAAAACTCTACATTTTAACTTCTCCTCCACCAACATTTTATGTTATTGATGGCACAATTTGCCTTTTACATGTTAAGTATCCATTGCCAAATTATTATAGCTGGTTCTTTTGAATACATTTGTCTTTTTACTTTAATAATAGAGTTAAAAGTTATTCATGCACTGTGATTACAGTATTAGAATATTTGAATTTGAATACAGTTTTACCGTTATAGTGAGCTTCATTCTTTAGTACGCATTTCTGTTGTTAGTTAGCGTCCTTTTGTTTTGACTTGAAGAGCTCCTTTACCGTTGCTTGTAAGGAAAGCCCTAATTGTGATGAGCTATCACAGCTGATTTGTCTGACACAACAGAATTACACATTCACTGGACAGACTGCATGTTTGGTCATAACACAGATCTTCATAAATCTCAAAGGATTGAAAACCTGTGACTGTGTTTTCTAACCAAAAAAAATCAATTAGAAATCAGCAATAAAACATCTAGGAAAATGCAAATATTTAGAAATTAGACTACACATATTTAAACAATTCACAAGTCAAAGATGGAATAAAGAGTGATATTAGCAGTTTTTTTTAAGTGAATGTCAAAAAAAAACCTCACACTTCAGAATTCATCAAATACGGGCAAAGATAGCAATCATGAAGGAAAAATGTAAATACTGTCTTGAATCTTTTAAAGCCAGGGACTTAAGGATCTACATTAAGAAGCTACTAAAAAGAACGAAGATGAGCCCAGGTAAGTGAGAGGAAGGAAAGAATTATAAGAACAGAAATCAATTTTTTTAAAAGCAGATAAACAATAGAGAAACTTAACAAACACAAAAATGTGTTCTTTAAAAAAGATGAACAAAATTTACACATTCCTCAAAACATTTACCAGCAATAAACAAAGAACACAAATCAGTAATATTATACATAAAAATCAAGGTTATCACAACAGAAAGAATATGTACAATGTCATTATAAAAGGGCTGGATATTTTTAGGTGTGATACACCCAGAACATATTTAGTCTTTATCATATTACCAGTTTTAAAATTGCCATTTTCTTTCTTATATCTTCTTAAAAATATTATTTTTAGATTAAACAAATCAACATTTGTCTTGATATTTAGAATGTTTATTGTCATTTTTCTTTCTACAGGCCGATTCAGTATACTTTTAAATTTACGTGTTATTTTACAACTCCCAACTGTCCACTTTAAATAATTTGCTAGTTTAAAATATAAGTAATATACATTCAAAATATTTTACTTTTGTCCTAAAAAAATGAAAACACCTATTTAAGAAAAATGTCAACATTGAAGTAGGATTAAGCTTTTGGAATGCCTCTTCTCTTCTCTATTATATTCACTCATTTAATTACTTCTGAGACATATCAAAAACTAAGATGCTTTCAAAACCTTAATATTTTTTCCTGGAGATAAATCTATTAAGAATCTTTATCTCTGCTCCCTCTCTGGCAAACTGGAATGGTCTGTATCCAGATGTAAATATCATGGATTTTTAAAAAATCTCTTCTTCAAGCAAAAGGCAAAGCTCTTGGAAAAGATTAATATTGGCAAATTAAGGTATCACCAGTAGGAAATAAATAGAATTCTTTTTAGGTTATATATGTGTTTGCAAATAAATAGAATTCTTTTTAGTTTATACATATATTTGAAGACCAGTGTTTAGAGAGTGTTTGGTGAAGTAAAATCTTTTAATTCGAAAACAAACATTTGTTGAATCAGTCCTTAAACATTGTACTATGTCTATGATCTTTTCATTGTATAACAAATTATAGCTCCTCTTTGTCTACTTATGGCTCCTCCATGATACTGTGGTAACAACCCAAATTGCCCCTAACCCAGAAGATGAAAGTTCATGTTGTCCCATCTTGTACTCTTTTTTGAAGATGAAACCAACCCTGCGACCCTATCACCAGATGACTGGGTCAGTTATTCGTGAAAGTGTCAAGATAATTATATGAGAGCTAGCCAAAAGACAGAGACCACCAAGTCAAATCTGTAAAGCGCATACTTCCATATGCGTTAGCCCACAGTAAGTACTGCAGCTATAAATTGGAAGTGAAGAAAGAGAGTCTGCAACTTAGGAATACTCCTTTGCACATTAACTTTATATCTTAGGTCTCTATGATGTGCAAACAATAATCTCAGAACGTGTCGAACCCAAGAAGTCTGGGTGAGTGAGAAAATGACTTTCTATACTGCCTCTGTGTTGCTTTATTCTGTTAAGCCAGAATTCCTGAATGTATTACTATTTTCTTATACTTAATACATTTTGGGTTATCTATCCATCTCACAGTAGCTTTCTCACTTGTGTAGAACTGTTCCTTGCCCATGACAATGTGTTTTACTTGGAGTCAAAATTTGACTTAATAAATATGAGTGTTTATATTAAAACATCTTAAGTTTATCATTGTTATTAAAACTGAAGTCACAATCAGAAATCCTTGGAATAACTAAAAATACCTGAGGCTAAGAGGCCTTATAAGAAACTCATTCTGATAACCTAACTGAATTCTGTGAAGAATCTACGTAGATGGGTAAGGGTAATTGAATAGGTACCAACAAGTAAATAATGTTGCAAGATAACATTTATTAAATATTTACATATGTGGGAGTACCTGTGTTAAATGCTTCATATTCAATTAATGTAATTACCACAACGAAATCTGGAAGTGGTCCTATTTTTACTTGAAAGAGGCATTTATCAACTTGCCCATGGTTATAATTACAGAAACATTGGAATAAGTCTGCTAATCCTCATATAGACTGACTTCAAAGTTTATAATTCCAAAGCCTGTTTTAATATGTCCATGCATTACTTTCTTTTCTTTTTTTTTTTTTGAGACAGCGTTTCGCTGGGTCGCCAGGCCCCAGGCTGGAGTGCAGTGATGTGATCTCGGTTCACTGCAACCTCCGCCTCCCGGGTTCAAGCAAGTCTCCTGCCTCAGCCTCCCAAGTAGCTGGGACTACAGGTGCATGCCACCACACCCACCTAATTTTTGTATTTTTAGTGGAGACGGGATTTCACCATTTTGGCCAGGATGGTCTCGATCTCTTGACCTCTTGATCCGCCTGCCTTGGCCTCCCAAAGTGCTGGGATTAAAGGCGTGAGCCACCGCGCCCAGCCTTTCCATCCATTATTTTCATCAAAAGCAGCTGAAGAACTTATTAAACATACAGACACCTAGTATCCATATCAGACATTAAGAATTGTAATCTCTGAGTTCCCATTAGGAAGTATAAATACTTAATAGATAATGAGAATTCTAGGTGATTTTGTTACTGAGATTTTAGTAAGATACATAGGTTCTAGATAATGTGGAACAAAATCAAAACCAAGAAGGGAAGATTAAATGGAAACAGCTGGATAAGCCTGAGAAATAAAAACAAGTGACATTTTCATCTAATGTGGCTGCGCAAGAGAATCACTTAGGAAACTTTTAAAAACATTCATTGGCATTTCTCCCCAGGCTATCCCTCCCCAGCTCCCCCCTACGCTGTCCTCCCCTATTCCCCCCAATAGACCCCAGTGTATAATACTCCCTTCCCTGTGTCTATGTGTTCTCATTTTTCATCACCCACCTATGAGTGAGAATATGCGGTATTTCATTTTCTGTTCTTGTGTCAGTTTGCTGAGAATGATGTTCTATGCCAAATGTGGGTGAAGGGGAGGAAGGGAGCAGAACACACTGCCATGTGTGTACCTGTGCAACTATCTTGCATGTTCCGCACATGTACCCCCAAATCTAAAATGCAATGAAAAAAATAAATTAAAAAAAAAAATTCATGTCTTTGCTCTACCCCAGACCCATGACATCTGGAACCTTCACATCAGTACTTCAGAAATGTTCCCAGATGATTTTTAATAAGAAACCAGATTGTTCATTAACATAAAACTCAAACTAATTTTGAAAGAATTTCTGCTATTAAATGTGACAATTGAACAAATCAAAGCAGCCTCTCTGATCTCTGTTATATATAACAGAGATTATATAGAATCTCTGTTGGAGGTGTTTGGAGAGTGTCATCTGACTATCCTTATTTACCGCAGTTTGCAAAGCATGGGCAATATACACATATCTAATAATCCTATTGGTATTTGGCAAAATAATAGTTAATGATGATAAACTTTGTTTTTCTATTCGAGTTTTGCATTTATAAGAATAAATTATTTTAATTCCCGTTACATCACAAAGATTCCCACTGTAATTCCTTGTCATTGCTCAAATTCCTGATTGATAAAATATTATATTTTACACCTGAAAATTTAGATTAGAACCAAAGGTTGATATAGGAATTTTAAGAGGTACCAAGCTTAATTACCAGAGCAAAACCACTCTATGCTCTCAAATCAATTTATATGCCTAGATCTAGGAAATACATGAAAATGTTCTCTTTCCGTAGAATTTATAAACCACATTTATCCTTTAGTTAAAAAGATTCTGTATCACCATCAGGGTGGAGGGTGGTGGAAGTAGGAAAAAGTAAAGTAGCAAAATATATTTTAGAAACTGACTAGTAAGGCATATGAAATACGTAAACAGAATATGTTACCTATGATTCACAATCATTTGGCTCTACCATACTTGACATTCTGTTGTATATTCAGTTTCATTGATTCCTTCTTAGAAAACTGCTAGAACTCTTAAGAAAATAAAAATGCCCTTTTAGATAAACATATCTTTGCATACCTAATGCGACATGATTACAGCTAGAAGAGTGTAATAGCCTTTCTTTTAACTCCAATAATTTGGTATATTTTAACTTTATTTTTCTAAGTGTGTTTTATTACCTGAAATTGTCTGCAATTATTACATTTAGAAAGTAGATAATAAAACAATGTGGCATTTTAAACTATTGCTATTTTAAAATAACCAGAGTCTGGAAAACTCATACATTATGATACTTTATTAGCTATTATAACATCGTGGACCTCTTTTCTCTGGAAAAAAAAAAAATGCAAGTCAGCAGATAACTTTGGTGGTGTTGGTCCTTGATCTATATCGAGAGCAAAGTTACCAACTGGATTCAGAAAAGCATTTGTTATGAGTAGTCTCTGTGATGATTGTCTAGAGAGAAAAATATTTCTCTAGGGATTCTCTAGACACAGTCATTCTATAAAAGAGGTCTGAGCAGTGATTTCTTGGGTATTACCCCAAAAGCACAGTCAACAAAAACAAAAATAGACAAATGAGATTGAATCAAACCAAAGAATTTCTATACAGCAAAGGATAAAATTAACCAAGTAAAATATAACACAGAGATTAGAAAAAATATTTACAAATCACACATCAGAGGTTAACATTCAAAATATACAAGAAACTCAGACTACTCAGTAATAAGAAAACAATCCTATTAAAATAATGGGGAAATACCTTGAATGGGCATTTCTTACAAGAAGTCATACAAAGGCCAGCAGATATTAGGTTGGTACAAAAGTAATTGTGGTGTATATTACATTTAACGTCTCTAATCACAGAAATGCAGATTAAAACCACAATGAGTTATCATTTCATATGTGTTAGATTAGTTGTTATCAAAGAATCAAAGATAACACATGTTGGTGAGGACTTAGAGTAATGGGAATACTTGTACACTCTCAGGAAATATTCTGTGACAATAATCAACATGTAGCAAGAAGCAGAACCCTTGAATAAACTAATAGTTATAAACAATTCAAATTATATGATAAATGTCTCCATATTTGTCCATTGGCTCCTGGCAAAGGAGTAGTCTAAAACTCTTCACAGGCCCAGTTAAAACAAAACATAAATTTTAAAGCACAGTTACTTCCAACTGTATTCAAAATGGGAACTCTAATTTATTTTAAAGGGTAAGATAATTTTGATATGCGTAAATCATACTGGAAAAAAAAGGATAACTACAGGTCAATCTTACCTGTTAACAAACATGCAGAAACCATAAAGGTATTTCAGCAGATTAACTAAGGAAAACAGTGTAGGACTTTAGGATGAAATAGATACCAGGATGGAATAAAACATTAGAATATATGGATTCCCTAAATTTGATTAAATTCAGAATTTATGCCATATATGAAATATATACACATATTAATAGATCTAAAAATCACCTATAAAATTCAACAGCATTATGAAGAGAATAAAAAAATAATAATTGAAAGAACTCCCGTAATCCTGATAGAGTCTAGTATCCACCTAAAGAAGGCACCATGCTTGCTGGGGAACCATTAGAATTACTCCTAATGTAGCCTCACCATCAATTAATGTTCCCATTGTTCCAAAAATTTGACAGATAGTTTTTAGCAATGGTGGAATTTTCATTTTTCTCAATCTGATAAATCCATAATTCTCTCTCTTAGAATTTTATTTTGCATTTCCTGTTTATAAATTATGTTAGGAATCTTTTCATAAGTTTATTTACCATTTTGATTTATCTTTTGTGAAATGCTGGTTCACAATTGTTGTCATTTTTCTGTTTTTTTCTTATGAGTTTGTTATATACTTGAATGGTTATATATACATAGAAGTACATGAATATAGTTTTATTTTCTCCCTACTTTCTCTTTCTCCCCAGTCATCTAATTTATATACTTGTTGCAGTTGTTATTTCCAGGTTGTAATTATAGTTTTGACACTAATACATCTTTTGTGAAGCAGTCTTACAAAATTTTAAAATAGTGGAATTTATCACTGTTTTTCATTTTGGTTTGCATGTTTTGTGTTTTATGTAAAGAATAATTTATTATGCACATAATGATGCAGTAACTGAGAATTCTAAGCCAGTCAAATTGGCTTGCTCCCTCACTCATCCTGTTCATAAAAAGGAAGATAACTTGAAGAGGGCTGAACCAGTCAGGTGAGTCCTCACACTAGATTGAGTCCTTCCTGAAATTAGAGAGAATGGAAGTGTGGGGACACTTTCACCTATAGCAGGGTCCTTAAGTCAGATGATTGAAAGTCTGAGATGGCCTGCCTGTGAAGGGGATCAGGGAGTGAGATCCTGAAAGTGGTTCAATTGCTAGCAGGAAGTTGGGGACTTCAGTTCTACACACGTAAGGAACCTCATTCTTCCAACAACCTGATAGTCTTGGGGCAGTTCTTTCCAATTAGGTACTCCAGATGAAGACACAGCCAGCCGACACGTTGATTTCAGCCTCCGGAGTCCCTTAGCAAGAAAAGTCATCTAAAGTGTGCTGCCTTCCTGACCCACAGACACAGGTAACAAACTGGTGTTTTAAGCTGATGAATTGGTGATTATTTGGCATATATAATGGAATATAAATGCCTCCTCTATAACTTACTTCTTCACTTATAAAATGAGGATAATATTAGTATCTTACTCATAAAGTAGATTTTTTAGAAGATTCAATAAGTAAATCAATATAAACTTTGGAAGTACCTAGTAGTATACAATGCTTGATTGAGTAAGCACTATATAAATAATATATTTTATTATGAAGAATACAATCCTCCGTATTTTATACTGTAGCTTTTTTTTTTTAACTTTACAATACACTTGATAATAATATGTATTTAGGATCTGAAGTGGTGATCCTCCCTCCCTCCCTCCCTTCCTTCCTGAAATGGAGAAGCGATTATGCAAGTTCTATTCTTTATTCAATGACCTAAAATACCATTTTCAGAGCTAAAGTACTGATCTAGGAATTGAGCTGTTTCTCTACTCTGTCTTGTGTTCCATTGATTTATTTCTGTTTTCTTATAGCAATAACTCAGCTATTAACACAAATTTTATTAACTAAAAGAGAAAAATTTTAATGTCTTACTCTTCATTAAATTTTCCTCTTTTATTTTTCTTTAAGAAGAACAAGATACATATATTAACTTGTGTTAGTTAAGCTAACGTAACTATATGAATCAAATATGTTTTCACACGTGTATATATCAGGGTAACCATCTAGACCAAGAGATAGAATAGTTTTGGTATCACGTCCCTCATGCACATTCCTGGTTTGTAAAACCCCTTCTCATCACAGAGGTAGCCATTATTTAAATTTCTGAAGTGTGGATTCATTTTGCCTGTTTTTGAACTTTGTATAAATAGGATTATGTATATTTAGTTTTGTGTGTGTGCTTGTAGTCTTTTACTCGTAGTATTTTTGCAATCTGTTAATTTCTGTGTATATCAGGAATTATTTCAAGTTGTTGTGTGATAGTTCATTGTGTGACTATACTACAGTTTGTTAAACAGTTTTCCTGGTAATAAGCATTTAGTTTGTTTCCAGATTTTTACTATCTAAATAATGCCTCTGTGAACATTCTCCTACAGGTATTTTTAGTGATTTATGCACTCATTTACTTTGGATTTATACAGAAAATAGGGAATCACTGGATCAAAAAATAGGCATATGTTTGTTTAGAAACTGCTAAAGAGTTGTTCAAAATTGTAGGATAATTTTACGCTCTTAGAAATGTATGAGCATTCCAATTTCTTTACATTTTCATAAATATTTAGTATAAGAAATCATTTTATGTTTAATAATTGTATTTTGTTTTAGCCAGTTAGTCTCTCATTACAGATTTTAATTTGCCTTTTCTTGAGAGCAACTTTTCATATACCTATTGGCCATTTTTGAATATCTTTTTGATGAAATGTCTCTAGGTATTTTGCCCATTTTTAAATTGGGTTCTTTGCTCTTTCCTTACTGACTTGTGATTTGGTACATATGTGCATATATATTTATATAATTTATGAATATACAAATTATAGAGTTTATAAATTAATATTGCTTATAAATTATAGATAAAGCTATGCTACATGTAATTTATAGTGCTACAAATGATGTTATTGAAGTAAAGGCTTTCATGCAAAAAACTTTAGAAAAGCCCTCGATACATTTACGAAGCATGTATTAAGTGGATAATGTTTGATGGCATAAACATTTGTTGAGCACTGGCTGCCAGGCACTGGGCGAGATACCGAGAATACAGCAGAGAAGAACACAAGCCCTGTGTAATCTCTAATCTCAGGGAACATGAGCTAACAGACAGTAAAAAAGCAAACAAATAATTTAATGCTTAATTGAAATTAGCATATGTGCTTAAACAAACAAAAATGTATAGACCTTTCTTAGAGTGATTGTAACAGGCCAGTGTATCCTAATCAGAAAAAGTGACGCTGAAGGACAGCTTAAGTTGAGGCGTTAAATGTGATCTCCACTTAAAAAAAAATATGGCACAGCACTCACGATTTTTATAGCGTAATGGAAAAGGAAAGCACTAAACAGATAGTTACAATACCATATGATTAAATGTTAGGATATAAGGAATCCATGTATTATGCAAACACGTAGAAGGGACGTCTAACTTAATTTGATTACAAGTCTTACTGGGGAAATGATACCACAACTATTCTGTGTATATATAGATATAGATATACACACACACACAGAATATATACATATGTATATAGAATATATATATACTGTGAGTACTGGGGTGCATGTGCAGACCCTGCAGGTTCGTTACATAGGTAGACACATGCCACGGTGGTTTGCTGCACCCATTCCGCCATCATCTACGTTAAGTATTTCTTCTAATATTATCCTTCCCCAATCCCCCCACCCCCTGCTATCCCTCCCTTAGCACTGATACCCCCTGACAGGCCCCAGTGTGTGATGTTCCCCTCCCTGTGTCCATGTGTTCTCATTGTTCAACACCCACTTATGGGTGATAACACGTGGTGTTTGGTTTTCTGTACCACAATCTACAAAGAACTTAAACAAATTTACAAGAAAAAACCCCATCAAAAAGTGGGCAAAGGATGTAAACAGACACAACTATCCTTAAAATGATTTCAGACATTTTAAAGGTAATTTCTGAACATTGAATTTATACTCTTATCCTACAGTTTTAGTTTGCTGATTTATTTCCTCTTTATTTAGGAACTCTTATGGTACCTAAATGTTAGGGGTCTAGTATTATCTTTATGGTGTATTAACACTCAACAAAAAAAAGTATGAAGCCTTGGGCTCAAGTACCTGGACTAAGTTTACTGGATTTTGTGAGGATGAACCTACAACTTGATAGACCATTGTACCAGTGTAACAGACCATGGCAAAGCGATATAAACTGATCTAATATAAATTTAATGAAATAGATTGAGTTACTTTACAGTTTGAACATAATTTATAGCATATTTGTGTCAGTCTTAACACTGATTTTTGAACAATTACGGCACACTTATAAATAGTAGCTCCTATCTGAATGCCACCAATCCCCAAAGAAACTGTAATCTAAATTAGTATCTCAATTAATCACCTGGGTACTCCACAACTATTACCTTTTTTCACACAAGGATGTATCATTAAAAACAGCCTCAATTTGCTTTTTTGATGTCTAACATGACTAATAGCAGTCTTGTGACTTGAAAAGGCAAATTATTTGCTGTTATGGAGCTTGACATTTTTGGAGTTTTAAGGCTGTGTTCTTTCCCTTCATCTGGAAATTCTTCAATTCAATAATATCACCTAAGAGTAGCTTTCAAAGAGGCCTTTTCTCCCTACTAACATGTTTTACATTAGAATAGTGCTTGTTTCTAAAAGTAATATTTTCATTATGTGAGATTTCAAATTATAAATGTGCTTTTTTCTTATTATGTACCAGAATGGAGTTAAAGTAGAGTGAATATTAAATGAAGAGAATCTTAATGTTCAGAATGAGTAATACTACCCCTTCAATTTAACAACACTTTGAAAGTATCAAGTACTATTCTAATTTCTTGAAAGGTAAGATATTTTGTTCAAGGCCTATGAAGAAAGTTTAACTTTGGGGGGAATAAATAAAATCATTTTTCTTAATTTTAAATGTTTCTTCTTCAGTTTAAGCCAGTAAAGTATAACAAGTTTGCAACACAATTATTATTCCTTTGGTTACTCCTATTTTCAGTATGCATTACTTGAATTTTGACAGCTGATACTATTTTACTAAAGTTTATGTATAAAGTCCTTCAGCTGTTTATAAATCCTTTGTTTTTATTACTCAATGTCAAATGATTTCTCATTATGCTCAAATCAGTGCTGATGTTTTATATTAATTTTGTTTGAGTTGAGTTAGCTGCAAGTGATGAGCAAATATATGGAAACATCATTCAAGAAAATTGATCAGAAGGAAAGCATGATTCTGCTTCCCATATTTAGGCCTATGTGATCAACACATAAATAAAGGTACCAGCTGCAAGAACCCACAGAAGGATATTTCAGATTCTCATTTCAGCAAACAGACGGACACCTAAAAGTGTGGGAGCAGAAGACATCACCAAGGAAAGCATGTTTAAAGTGGAATGATACATTAACATGGACAACAAAATCCTTGATATTCAGTCCAGACTGAAATGTGTAATGAAAATAGTTGGATGTTAAAAAATTCAAGAGTGAGAAGTATCAGCAAGGAGGATCTCGTCCTTATTATTGAAGTAAGGTAAATATGTTTTTCTATCATAATAAATCAACATTAAGCTAAGCCTAGAAAACAGTTGATGATCCGCTGCAGCCAGCAAAAGGGTTCAGGAGTTCAAGACCAGCCTGGCCAACATGGTGAAACCCCATCTCTACTAAAAATGCAAAAATTAGCTCAGTGTTATGGCACACACCTGTAATCCCAGCCACTTGGGAGGTTGAGGCAGAAGAATGGCTTGAACCCGGGAGGCGGAGGTTACAGTGGGCCGAGATCATGCCACTGCACTCCAGCCTGGACCACGGAGGGACACTCCATCTCAAAAAAAAAAAAAAACAAAAAAGAGAGAGGAAGAAAGGAAAGCAAGGAAGGAAGGAAGGAAGAAAGGAAGGATGAGTATAATAAAAAATACAACGTAGATTGTTGACTTCATATTTCACACCTTTTAATGAACAACTTTAAATCTTTGTACAGTCTAAATTAACCATGAATCATCAGTAGAGACATTTAAAAATCCATGTTTTTTTTTTTAACTCAACTGCCTTTTTAGACTGTTGTAATTTCAAATACACACTAAAAATCCAGGATGCTGTGGAGCCTCTAAAATATATTTACGTTCTTTTAGCTAGGACATTGTCCATGCCAGAATGATCTTTCAAACTCACCAAGGAAATTTCAGCCTCTTGCCTGTGTTTATAAATACCGTATTCTAAAACTTAACATTCTGGCATTGCTTAGTCTCTCTCCCTCAGATAATTGAGGTAATTAGTAAGTTAGTATTATCCCTATTCTAACCTATGTATGAAGTAGAAGAGTCTCTAACATTAGACAATTTAAAAACAGTAATTAATATTGGAAATGACGTTGATTAGATTACAGGACCATTTAGTAACTGCCTTTTCAAAAGTACTGGCAATTTTTAAAGGCCTTAATGGAAATACAGTGCTAAAAGAACAGTCGTTCATTTTTTTGCTTTGGCAATTGTGACCTATAAAATTTCTGTTTGTAATCAACCTAATATAAATCCAACACACAATTAAGACTTGGGAATGTGTAACACCTCAAAGCTATTAATATCAAAAGTCAAAACTGTATTTCCTGAAATCATTCGATGTTATTTAAAAATTGGATTCTATCTTACTCTCTTGAGGACATTTTTGGGTAGTTTTAAGTTTAGACATAATTAATTCCTGGATATTTCACATTTATCTTTCAGATTTTCCTGACATCAGTGCATCCTTTTGAGTGCGTTAGCATATCTCTTAAGATTTCCGTTTCGGTCTTGACCTGGGGCTTTCTTTTTCAATGTCACTTTGAAAAAAAAAAATCTTGAGATAATTCTTGGCTTTGTCAAGGATACCAGTAACAAAAGCATCAGCAAGTGGGTAAGTTCAGACCTTTTTTGTACCTATTTTTCACTCATCATTTACTTATTTTTTCTCTTTGGTGATTTGTTTTCGAAAATTCAGATATTTCTACTTAGAGCCGTAGACTCTGCAGGAGTGTTTCGATTTCTCCAAAATCTATTGTGATACTTTATGGAGCTCTTTTACAACATGCATGCATAAGATATTGTGTGATTTTATGTGTCTTAATGTGTATGGACTTTGCTGTAAAGTATCTTTAACGTTCATCATTAGCTACTGCAGTGTGTCTCCTAACGTTCAATCGCCATGCATAAAACATCTGATGATTACACTGTTTGAAATCTAGCTTCAAAGATTGCAATTTAAGTAATTAGAAAATCGGTGGAATATTTTTCTTGCATTTCATTAAAAACTTTTTTTCTCCAAACTACAAAAACACATTTCTGAAAAGTACTGTAATTGATTGCCACCAGCACATGCGAGGTGTCACTTCTGATTCTATTAAAACAGAGATTTCTGTTAGTCACTGTAATAAAATATTCTTATGTGCACATTCTGTGCAAATGCAATGTTTACTTGATAGAATAAGACAAGTGATATCCGTATATTGTCTATTGGATCTGATGTGTAATAAATCAGATGAAAGCTTAGCTCACATGCCATGCTGCAGAAAAATGACAACCAAATTTGGAGAGTCTTGGGTTTTATGAAAAATTCTATCAATAACATGAGTCAGCTTGGAAGTGGATTTTTCTCTAATCTCAGATGAAAATGTAGCAGGTTGATAGTTTGATTTCATTCTTATAAGACCCTGAACAGAGGACCCAGTTAATCTGTGACAGATTCCAGACCCACAAACCTGAAATGATGAATTTATGTTGTTGTAAGCTGCCAAGTTGATTCCAGAAGTTAAAAAAAGAAAACCTAATACAGGAACCAAGTGTTTCCTCTGTCCTTATAGTAAGAATTTGATTAGACTTCTCATTATGCTTGTATAGCTGTAGTCGGTTACTTAATTTATAGGACTGATTTTAATAATTTTGAAAGTCAAAATTAAGAGCCAGGACCTCAAATTCTTCTCTCAAAGGAGAATATTGAACAAATTAGTTTACATACCAAATAGATACATCTAGGAGGAATATGGCAACCACCGCCTACTTTGTGGTCCAATTCACGTCATAAACAATGGTTGGGTCTTCCCTTTATATTTGTGTTATGAAAGGACCTAATCACGGTATCTAGAAGGCGGATATTGATTGTAAATTTCAGGATAGTAGTTTTTAGCTTCAAAATAGACGTAGGTTTTATGCTGCTTGATTTCTTCTGTCGATTTTGGAAAAGTAGAAGATACCTTTTCAAATAGTCCTTGTCTCACTTTCTTTCCTCTCCATCTGCTACTGCAATTGTTTCTGAGAAGATGGCAGTGCATCTCCTCAGTTGCTTACTCTTGTTTTCATGTTTTTACCTCATTTTTGTCTCTCGTTGTACTTCATTCTCATTATGCTCTTCCATTTATTTACCATTTAATACTTTTATTCAGCTGTAAACCCATACATTAAACCCTGAATTTCAGTTTTATATTTTTTAGCTCCACTTTCAAATTGATTTAGTTTCCATTCTGTGGCCAAGATTATAATTCTGTCTTTTATATTTCTGAACTGATTAAACATAACTATTTTTTTTTTTTGAGACATTCTCTCTCTGTCCCCCAGGCTGGAGTACAGTGGCACAATCTTGGCTCACAGCAACCTCCACCTCCCAGGTTTAAGCAATTCTGTGCCTCAGCCTCCCATGCAGCTGGGACTACAGATATGCGTCATTATGACCAACTAATTTTTGTATTTTCAGTAGAGACAGGGTTTTGCCATGTTGACCAGGCTGCTCTAGAACTCCTGGCCTCAAGTGATCTGCCCACCTTGGCCTCCCAAAGTGCTGGGATTACAGGTGTGAGCCACCACGCCCGGGCAAGAATTTTTATTCTCATAAACTGGATCATCATAATCCAGTTGTAGAGATTAACATAAATCAAAGGTGGATTTACTTCTGTATTGACATGTCTGATTTTGGTTAACCTTGAACCGTAGCAGCACCTGTTGATATACAAATTCAAAACCTAGGTAGAAAGGTTACCAATCTATCAACATATATTTTGGCAGGCTATGAGCCTCAGTTTGGATCTCCCTACTCAGAGGAGGCTATTCATCTCTTGAAACCTTTTCTCTGAGTCTTCCTCTTTAAGCTGTTTCTTTTTGAATTGACAGAGACCCTATGAGAAATGCATTACAAATCTTATATGACATCTCTGACTTTCTTCATACTCCTAGACTGGATCATGAGAGACATATTTTTGTGGCTTTTTACAGATGTTCTGGTTGTTATCAAAAGAGTATTACTTTAATTGCTTAGTCTGTCAATATCAGAGCAAAAGTGGTCTAGTTGGCACGTGCTGTCTCTTTCTGTCTCATGTATTTCTTTATATGCACTTACTTTATGCTTTTATGCTTATGAGATATCTTTATTCATGAGTTAAATGGAAGTTCAAAACATTATGTTTGATGTTTACCTAAGTGTAGGTTATGCTGAGCATTTGTGACAGAATGATAAAATTTCACAGTTTCTTATTTGAAGTCTCTATTCTTTCTACACATCTAAGAGCCTTGAGATAGCTGGAGTAAGTTGAAAAGAAATGGAACCCATTGAATTAGAAATCCTGGAGTTAATAATGGTTGATTGTTATGTGTAAAGTTTATTTGCAGCTTAGAGTGAATTTTGATTTCATGTTTACTTGCTTATTTTTCAATATTTTCCCTTACTTTATTTCCAATAATACTCGTTTTGCATTTCTAATTAAATCTGCAGTTCAACACATGTCAGGAAGACAGGACAGAAGTTCATTTTTTAATAATTTAACAAGAGACATAGAATGTTTTGAATATTTACATTATCAAATGGAAAACAATGTTTACTCAATTTTTGTGGACCCAAATATGTAGCTCTCTATAGCAGTGGTGTTTTCTGATGCAAGTTTTGAAAGTAAAAACAAAAATGTGCATTCTTAGAACAAACCCTCAGAATTCTAAATAAATCTCTCACAACTTTATTGACCACAACTAAATCATATCTCTAATAGGATTATCTAATTTGAACAAGTAAGATTGCTTAGAAACATTTTTTAAAAGAGTTTGTTGACAACAACAATATTGAGGAGATAAAAGGGAAAATTCTGTATGATGTTATAATTTTAAATTACAATTTTATGACTATAAGCAATTGCAATATATTCTTTTTGTAGAAATTTGAGTTGATACACATTGAGATTTCTGACAGACCAAACCATGCCAAAAAATCGTCTTTTGCTAATAAATCCAGCATGTAGAATTTACATGTTCATAAATATTCACGTATCTAAAACACATTTTTTCCAGGAATTATTCAGTGAAATTATATTTCCTAAAACATTAATACTAAAATTCTTTCTGAGATGTGGAAAACAGCCGCTTCTAATTTTATAGCAAATAATTATCATTTTATGTATAATTTTTAAAATACATTGTATCTTAGAACACAATAATACATATATAGGATATATTTTATTTAAAATACAAAATAAACTGGCATTTAGCATTATTTTGGAATTTAAATGTAAATTGATGTGTTTATGTTGAACAACTTAAATTGACTAATAACTAAAAACCACTAAAGTGTTTTTTCTTTATTATTTTGTTGTTGGTCTATGAGAACAGATGGGATGATTATTTTTCGGTTTGTTTGTTGTGTTTTCAGCTTTTTGGCTATATGTTAGATATTTAAATATAATATCTAAATATAATATATAATATGTATCTAAGTATATAATGCTATATACTTAGAAAATTATATATATATATATATATAAAATCATTGTAAGTTTTTAGTGTAGGTTCATTTCATAATGTAATGTATAAAAATGATTTTTGTCCGGGCACGGTGGCTCATGCCTGTAAATCCAGCACTTTGGGAGGCCAAGGCCAGCTGATCACCTGAGGTCAGGAGTTCAAGACCAGCCTGGCTAACATGGTGAAAACCCCCATCACTACTAAACATACAAAACTTAGCTGGGTGTAGTGACACACAACTGTAATCCCCTACTCGGGAGACCGAGGCACAAAAATCATATGATCTTGAGCAGACGAGATTGCAGTGAGACAAGATCATGCTACTGCACTCCAGCCTGGGTGTGAGTGAGACCGTCTCAGAAAAAAAAAGCCCTAAAACTAAGCCTCCTTTTTCACTCAAAAAAGTCATCATTTTGCAACAGCAACATTTTGTTTCCAGAATATTATGTATATTCCAAAAAAACAAAAAACAAAACACTGACACAATAACTCTGGCTTTATAAGTGATAGAAGTGACGTCGTAGCATGAGAGAGTTCAGAACAGTCAAATTCTTAGTCTTTAGTTTCAAGGTCATTTTGGGGTGAGGGAACACATGCATAGACAGATTCATTCAGCAAAAATAGTTTTGCTTCTCTGATTCAGGCAAAGATAAGAACTGACACATGATTATGTTTTAGATCATTTGTATTTTATTCAAATAAACACACCCTTTTCTCCTGAAAATAGGCTAATTTCGAAAAAACAATTTTAGTATGGCTATAGGTAATTTACTCATTTACTATTGAGTTAATACATAGGAAAACATTTTGATCCTTAGTGATGAAATATATTTCTCTAATAGGTAGTCTGGACTTAAAATATCTCCCTTCAATCCTCTTCCAAACTGAGTGCTTTTAATCAGAAAATGAACCGGTGACAGTATGTATAGCAGTGCACTGATACAAATACATCACTGATTGAAAGAGAGTCATCGTGGAGCAAGAGAGAACATTGTAATACTATATACTTAGAAAAGAAAGTATATGCATGGTTTAGTTGATAGAATAATATTCCCTTTCTTAGCTCCTATTTTACTGAAATATTAATTAGGAATCCACATCTTCAAATTGTCTGGAAAAAAATTAAGTCATAGGTTATAGATA